GCTGAAATTAGGAAAGCAACTCCATTTGTAATAGCCCCACAAAAAATAAAATACCTAGGAATTAACTTAACTAAAGAAGTGAAGGACCTCTATGGGAATACAGTTTTAAAAAGCATTGTACATACTACAAAATTAAGAAATGTAAGGGAAGGGGTGGATGAAGGGAGCTGAGAATGCTGAAAGGTGTGTCGCTGATCAAGATGCATTGTATTCATAACTTCTTTGTTAAATGGAAACTCCTTTGTACAATCATTTAAAGATAATAAACTAATACCAAAGCATAACTATTTCTGGTTAAAAACACTAGTCCTGAACTCCTGTCCCTACTAATATTTCAGATACCTTCATTGTCAATTAAATAGCTCATTCACTTACATAAAAAACTATTTTACAAGATTCAAGATATATGCAAGCTGTAATTTACATTGGTACTCATTTCTTTAGAAAGTTTATTCAAATTCTTATAATGAAGCACACTAAAATAAGTATTTTTAAGGTCAGCATATCAACTTTCATCTTATTTAGAAAATGAAATGGAATGGAATAATAATTTGGACAACTTTACAATATTATTTTTCCTATTATTTAATAGGAGAACACAATCTCTTTTTTTCCCCCCCTGTGCCTGTACTGGGTTTATGCTTAGGGCCTAAGCACTCTATCTTAGTTTTTTCTGCTCAAGTCTGGAACTCTATCACTTGAGCCACACCTCTACGTCCAGCTTATTTCACAGACATTTCGGCCCAGGTTGTGTTCAAACTATGACCCTCTCATCTCAGCCTCCTGAGAAGCTAGGTTTCCAAGTATAAGCCCGCTGGAACCTGGCACCTGTTCCCACCTTGTGCAGGGCTATACAGACAAATGGAAGGCTGGGAACTAAGCCTTCCTGACAAAGGGCGTGACATGAAACTGATGACACCTTCAGATAAGTGATCAACTTTTTTTGGCTAATGACTTCTTATTTTCACATTCATTGAGGTGAAAGTAAACTATCCAACATCTGGATATAGTTCTTATTTTTGTTTGATTGAGGCCTGCATGGTCTACAACTATCTTGTTTTTTTTAAATAAGATTTTTATTGTGAAAATACTGTACAGAGGGGTTACAGTTACATGAGCAAGGTAATGAGTATATTTCTTATCAAGCATTGTGGCCTCCTCCTTTGTTTTTCCCCTAACATTCCTTCCCTCCCACCTCCTCCCCCTCCCCCTCCCCCGCCCCCACCTAAACCAAAATTGTAATGTTCGTTTTTCAACATAGTGTCTTGTACATGTCGTTGTTGCAATGGGTCCACCTGTATCCCTATTTAAACATTTTGTTTTTTCCCTTCCCCTCCCCAAATTATACCAACACCAAATGCAGTGAAACAGGGGTTATAGCATGGGAGAGGGACATACAAAGCAACAAAAAAAATCATGTGGTACCTTAATAGCAAGAAAGGAAAAACCACTTGTGTCCCTATCTTGAGGTTCATTTCACTTCACATCATCTTATCTGACCTTTTCTGCCATCTTTTTAAAGCTATGCAGCCCTACAGGAAGTCATGAATTCTGGAAAGGAGCTGGCTGGCAGAATCTTGTGTCAATTGTCTCACTTGGCACTGGGCAAGTTCTGTAGTCAGGCAATTGGGAGGTGGAGGCAAGAGGTAGTGAATTCATAGTCAACCTAGAATATGTGGCTAGTCCTAGGCCAGTCTGAGTTAGACGGCCATACCTTGTCTCAGGTCACAAAAAGCCAAGAAGGTAGGCAGTGGTGATTCACCTCTGTAATTCTAGCTACTTAGGAGGCTGAGATTGGAGGATGTGGATGAGACTCATTACCCCTTAAACAGAGAGAACTAGAGGCATGGGTTAAGTGGTGCAGTATCTGCTTTGAGCAAAGAAGCCAAATGAGAGCACCAGCCCTGAGTTTAAGCCTCCACATCGGCCAAAAACAAAGAAATGAAAATAAAACAACAATTAAAAACAAGTCTTAGAGAAATTTCTACCATCCCCAAGGCCCCAGGTTCCATCCCCAGCCCTACAAGAAGAAAAGAGAAAACCTTTCACTCATTTTGGACAATATGAAAAAACTTACAACTCTGCCAAAAAAAAACAAAGGAAAATGCTCAATAGTTGTTATTCATGAATTAATAAACAAAGGGCAATTATAATGGTAATTATAATGGTAAAAGAATGAGCAAAGTTCCATTAGGAGACATTTGGTTTATACCACTGAATACTGACTACAACAAATCTTTATTATTCCATCAGAAAAAAAAAAAATGAAGGATTCCTTTCCATCCCACATGTCACTTTCTCAGCATTTGCTGTTGTTTCTTCCAACTATGTAACAGTATCCCCAAATCTTGTTATGGCTCATCTATATTTATCTAGCTTTCTCGAGATCCAGCATGCAATCTCCCATTTGTTACAGGAGCCTTGGTAACAGAGAGCTCCTCTTTCCAGACAGATGCTGGCTCTGTAATCTCTACTGGTTGTCACAGCTTCTGTGCTCTTCTCACGCATGGTCTGCAGTGCTGGGATGTGGGCCATTCAGGTAGACCTGTGCTTCACCAACCTCAATCAAAGCATCCTCCTGTCCAAACCTCAGAGTAGCCTTCGTCCTAACTCTAGCTTTATGCTTACAGTTTCTCTGCACTCACAGGCCAAGATGGCTTCTACAGTCTCAAGTTCCTGATAACATGAGAATACTATTAAGGAAAGAAACATAAATACATCACCAGTTGTTCTTTCAAAAAGAAATTATTGACTACAGCAGGCCAGAACATAAAATGAGATCACGCAGCATCCTACAACAACTCAGCTGGAGAGGGAGACTATGAGTCACGTAGAAAGCCACTTCATTTGCTGCATTAACTACACCAAGGGAACACACGGAAATACAGAAAATATTTTCCACTGAATGGCATGTGGGGGATAAAAAATTCATAGCATACCTTCAGTGGACAAAGAAACGGATAAGGTCATTTCCAGCTTGATTTTTCTTTTCATGCAGGAATGTAATTTTGGTAACATTAAGAATTATTGAAATGATCCTGTGAATTAGTTGTGTTTGTCAAATATCCCCCCTCATTGCTTTTTAGTTCTTTCTTTTTAAGGGATGAAAAGGACAGACCTTAAGAAAATTTTCCACAGTCATAGAAACACAGATTCCTTTTCAAGAAAGAACAGGTCACGAATTCTGAAATCAGATCCACCCACTGGAACAGAGTCATGTATGCAAAATGCTCCTCTACCTAGATGCATTTGAAGCCTCTAAGGCAAACTAGAAGCTCTGCCATTCGCAAGAGGCACAGCAGTTCCTTAGCTTAATTGCTTCATAAAATGCCATTTTCATGATGTTGATCTTTCCAATCCAGGAGCATGGGAGTTTTTGCCACTTTCTAAGTTCTGTTTTGATTTCTTTTTTCAGATTTTTAAAATTTTCATCATAGAGGTCCTTCACTTCTGAAAACATTACAGGATAGAATAGGAGAAACCCTAGGTCTCCTTGGCACAGGCCGAAATTTTCTTAATAGAGACACAGAAACACAACAAATCAAAGAAAGGTTGGACAAATGAGATTGCATGAAAATGCAGAGCTTCTGTATGGCAAAGGACAGAGCTAGCAAGATCAATAGAAAGCCCACGGATTGGGAGAAGAGCTTCACTAGCCATACAATGGACAAGGGTCTCATATCTAAAATATACCTGGAACTCAAAAATTAAATCCCCCAAAAACAAATCTTCAAAGAAACAACTGCCCAATAAATAAGCGGGCTAAAGACTTAAAGAGAAACTTCTCTGAAGAGGAAAGAAGGATGGCCAATAGACACATGAAGAAATGCTCAACTTCTCTAGCCATAAAAGAAATGCAAATCAAAACATTGAGATTCCACCTCACTCCAGTTAGAATGGCTATAATCAAGAACTCTAATAACAACAGATGCTGGAGGGGATGTGGACAGAAGGGAACCTTACTACATTGTTGGTGGGAGTGTAAACTTGTTCAACCACTTTGGAAAGCAGTATGGAGGTTCCTCAAAAGACTCCACATAGAGCTCCCCTATGACCCAGCAATCCCACTTTGGGCATTTACCCAAATGTTTACAAACAAGACCATACTAAAGCTACCAGCACGACTATGTTTATTGCAGCATTATTTATCATAGCTAAGATGCCCCTCAGTAGATGAATGTATCAAGAAAAGGTGGTATATATACACAATGGAATTCTATGCCTCCACCAGAAAGAAAAGGCTTGGAAAAAATTATATTAAGTGAAGTAAGCCAAGCCCAAAGAAACATAGGTCCCATGGTTTCCCTTATTTGCAATAACTAGTATATATGTCTGAGTCAAGCAGAAAAGGTCAGATAAATTGATGTTAGGAGAATGAACCCCAAGATAAGTATTCAATTTTTTCCTTTAATGCAATTGTTTCTAACATATTTATAAGATGATTTCTATGTTGTTTTGTATGTCCCTCCCCAACAGTATAACCCCTGCTTTCACTGTATTTGATGTTGGTATAATTTGTGGAGGGGAAGGGCAAAAACAAATCGTTTAAATAGGGATACAGGTGGACCCATTGCAACAATGAGATGTATAAGTCGTTATGTCAAAAAATGAACTTTACAACTTTGGTGGGGGGGGGATTGGGTGGGGGAGGTGGGGGAGTATGGGAAGGGATGGTAAGGGGAAACAATGAGGAGGCAACAATGCTTGATAAGAAATGTACTCGTTATCTTGCCCATGTAATTGTAACTCCTCTGTATGGTATTCTCACAATAAAAAAAAAAAGAAGAAGATCCAGCCTAGTGTCAAAAGAAAAGAATTTTTAAATAAAAAAAAAAGAGTAGATTTTTCTCAAGCTCCTCACTCTATCCAGGATCACATCAACAGAGAATAGAATCCTCCACTTCTTTACCCTCCCCCTAAAAAGTGTAAAATGCCTGAGGGTGCTTCTCATTTTGGAGGTGCACCATGTCACTGTGATGTGGGATAATAGCATGGTTGTTATGTAGGAGAACTCCTTTCCTTTCTCAACTGTATGCAGTTTAGAAGAGAGTATCATTCCTTGGATATATGACTAGAGTGTCTCTCCTTTTCTTGTGACTCCCTGAACACAGACCCTGAATGAAAAGCAAGAGCAGCAGAAGTAGGTGAGAGATGCTAGCACCTACTCAGTCCTCAACTCTTCCATCAAAACCCAGAAGAACGGGGTCCTCTACAGATACCAAAGTAAACAGATGGGTCAAAGCATTCATGTTCCCTCCATGAAAATGAAAACAAGTATACACACACACACTCACACACACACACACACTCTTACACACACACACTCTCTCTCTCTCTCTCACACACACACACATACACACACACACACACAGGCAAGTGCTTCTGTGTCCAATTGTAATTCTCAAACCATACACATTCCCATTACAAAATTACCAAACTTCCTCCTCCAGCCTGATTTCTACTGGGACTCACTAGAGAGTGTGTCACCCTCCACAATATGTTGACTGAGTCAAACCACACCGATCAAACTCTCGGACATGTGTTCATTGCCAACAGGACCACATTCAGTGAAGAAGGAAAGAATCTTATCATATTTTTCATTCAATGACAGGGAAGCAAATGGAAAGTACTTGGTTCATATTAATTGAAAGAACTAAACAATAATTGTCTCCAAATTCTTTCTGCTATTAAAAGGATCATCTTAATCACTTTAGACTCTAAAGGAAATTTGGAGGGATTTAAGAAGGATTAAGATAATAAAATTCAATATTCTTTTTATATACATATGGATTGAAAGATAAGTGAAAGCTGACAAACTAGTAAAATGTCTACCTTAAAGTTATTATTTAACAAAACTTCATGGGTTTCCTTAGTTTCTTATCTTAAGGCTTTGAAATCTTGTGCTACAATGATGCAAAATTATTTTTTGATAAAGGGACATGATGACAAAAATTGAAGTTTTCCTTCCACATCTTCTATCAGGCTTCCTAATCAATGTTATTTCATGCCTCATTTCTAGAATGAAGCACTTCATCTGCTGCGTTATATAGGGGACAAATGTGTCTTCATTCGTCACAGCCATGAAGAGCTGATTTTCAATCCATGTAGAAAATGCAGGTTTCAAAAACGCACCTGAACTGATTTGTAATACAGGCACAGATACCTTAATTTCTAACATACTCAGTATTAAAAAGCCACAAAAATCACAGCACGTAAACTTGAAGTTCAAAAATAAATTTCTTGTGTTAAGACACAGGAATTTAAAATTAGGTCCTAAAGATGGTAAAAGATGTATATACGTGAGTCTGTAAAACAATACCCGAATTACATTGAGTAGAATCTGTGAAGCAGTGTTGTCATTAAAATAATGCACGACTTATATTTTGGCTTGTAGTTTTAGAGTTTCCTGGAAAGCAGTCTCTTTTTAGGGACCTAGAACTTTAAAAAAGAATCATTGTTAGAAAACCAGAATACAAATGAGCTCCTGTGAGAATACTGCAGCTTCTGAAATTCTAAGTCATTTGCATGTTTATAGTAGTTTTCAACACTAAAATAAACCTGCAACCAAAACCAACAGTTAAGAAAACACAACCTGTAATGTCATAAAAAAGATTCTACACATGTATCTTATTCAGATCTAATCTTCAGATCTTCAGTGTCACAATGGCCCACCATATCAAACAAAGATTTTGTATACTTTATCTCCTTTCTTTTTACCGTCTCTAAGTAATTAAAAATGGCATCTAATGAACACCATGAATCTCAATTAAATACTTTCAATACATTACAGTGATTATTGTCACCTAGGATGCTCCTATGTAAAATCCAATAGAAAATTCAAAAGCACATTGTATCAAAATCATACCACAGTCACTTTACTTGACCAAAGGGATATAATGCAAATGTACTACAGCATGCATTTGTAGTACAATCTATGTTAAACTAAGTGATGCGAATATAAAATCCAAATCCAAACAGGAGTTCCTTACCATAGGTGAGATACTCTGAGGACTGCATCCGCTTCTACCTTGGTATGGGTGCATGTAATTCTGGTACAGCTGCATGCCATACTGCAGGATAAATCAACAAAAACACATTCTCAAGACATGTATTACACCAATAATTTATGATAAAGTCAACATTATCATAAATTATACATCATTGATATAAAAAGAGTTTAGAACACTGCCTTAAAACAAATATGGTAAGCAATCACAACTTTTAAACAATAAAACAAATAGTGCTCTGCAACAGTACATTTTAAAAGACAATTTTATGGCCAGGGCTGTTGGCTCATATCTGTCATCCTAGATACTTGGGAGTTAGCGATCAGGAGGATAGTGGTTAGAGGACATCCCAGGCAAAAAGTTCAGGAGACTTCATCTCAACTAATAGCTGGGCACATGGCACAGGATTGTCGTCCTAACTTATATGGGAAGCTGCGACTAGGAGGACACCAGTTATAGGCCCATTCAGGCAAAAGAACTGACAAAACCTCATCTCAGCAGAAAAAGCTGTGTGGGGTAGCAAATGCCTGTTCTCCCAGTGATGGCAGGAAATATACATAGAAAGGTCATGGTCCAGGCTGATGCCAGGCAAAAAGCAAGCCCTGTCTCAAAGGATAATTAGGTAGTAAGTGTTAGAGGCATGGCTCAAGCAATAGGGTGCTTCTATCACAAGCAAGAAACTCAAAGTTCAAATCCCCATAAAACACACACACACACACACACACACACACACACACACACACACACACACACACACGTTATTCTCTCAGACCCCAACTTGAGGTTCAGCAACCAAGTATATAGTATAAAGCTCCAGTACTGACATTTCCATTCACTGTGCTTGCCTAGCAAACATGCCCTACAACTACTTCAGAGGGGTGCCCTGCCTTGTGATGAGAAGATGGAAAATGGGCATCATGCTTTATCCCCAAAGCATATGAAAACCTCACACACATCCTAAGCAGTGCTGGGTAAAAGTTTCTGTTACTCTGAGGACTGACAAAATCACTTTGTCCCCTTGGTAAATCTGGAAATGTGGTGGTGGGTGGAGAGGCACTGTAGCACCTTTGTGTAAGTATTCTTTCAGCATTGGTATTTGGCTTCAAAATGAAGGAAACTTCAAAAACAGTAGACAGGGTGGTTTGAAAGAGTGTGGGAGAACACTAGCAAAGCTGAGGAGGATGCAGTGTCTTCAGAAAGCTGGAAGGCATCAGGAAAAGACAGAATTGAAATACAATTGTGTTATTTATTTATACTGCACTGGATGTGTTCCCTTTCAGACCTAGAAGCTACTCTCTTTGATTTCTGTCACTGCTAAAATAAGAAATCAAAGGGACAGACAGATATTTTTATTTCTCCCTTTTTCTTTTTCTTTCTTCCTTTCTTTTTTTTCTTTCTTTTTTTTTTGCTATACATTCTCTACAGTTTTTTTCCCCGTTTTATGCAGCCACATTGAACTCACAAGTTAGGCCCTCATATCTGGTGTTTAACCCCCTGCCTCCCATTTCTTCCTGCTGTAGCTTTGGGCATGACCATCCCTGGCCGAGATGACCATCACTGGCCATCCTCACCACCATCATCACATGGCCCTAGCAGTAAGGGCTGCTCAGGGAGCAGGAAGCAAAGCTGGCCACAATGGGCAGGACGGTGCAGGCAAGCATAGGGAACAAGGACAATAGCTTTGGCAAATACATTCCCATCAACTCCACCATGTTGGATCTGATCATCTCCTGTCTGTCCCATCTGGAAGAGCATAGCCACTCTAACATTTATCTGCAGGAACTGTTGGAATTCAACCATAGGAATGCCTTGAAATGGAGGGGTAGCTGTGGGAAGCTGCATAAGTACCTCTGGCAACCTTTCTTCCTTCCTTCCTTCCTTCCTTCCGTCCCTCCTTCCTTCCGTCCTTCCTTCTTCCTTCTCTCCTCCCTTTCTTTTCTTTCTTTCTTTTGTACTAGATGTTGAACTCAGAACATGGGTGCTTTTCCTTGTCATTTTTAGTTCAAGGCTGTCTACTAATTGAGCCATAGCTCCACTTCTGGCATTTTTAGTGGTATATTGGAGATAGGAGTTCCATGGACTTTCCTGCCCCAGCTGGTGTTGAACCTCAATCCTCAGCTCTCAGCCTCCTGAGTAGTTAGGATTACAGGCATGAGTCATCAGGCCTGAGCTCTGAAAGCATCAAGCAGGCTCCTACTCTGCCCCCTTAGACCATGATTGAGCCAATTATCTTCTTAAAGCCTGGCTTTCACGTGGCCTTGTGGATTGCCCAGTGTCATCACCTTGCTACCTCGGTCAGTTTCCACGGCCCTGTGTCCTCAACTAATGCCAAGCATGGACTTGTAACCAACTAGTCAGCCTGCACACCTGTGCCCAGGCCTCAGATAGTCACAATAAATAGGCTCTCCACATTAAAAAATAAAGTTCTTATAAAAAGACATCGAATCAACACCATAAAACAAAATCCTATCCGCAGGATGAGTTCAACTTAAACATTCCAACTGAGATGTTTCTCTATTTTCTTAAAAGTAATACCAACAAAGTGGATATATTTGGAAATTAGGCAAAAAATCTTGGGGGAAGGTGAGGCTAGAGGAGTCATTTTTTAAAAGATTTTGCTTTTCACATGAATATCAAACTACATTCATTTAAATTCTCTGAACTGACTTCCTTATCCAATTATTTCCCAACTTCTAAAAGTGATGTTTTCTTTTTAAAAATCTAGGTTTGATTGACATTAATAAAACCTAAAAAATTTACTTTAAACCAACCTTAAACCTTTAATAACTTGAACAAAAAAACGTGACAAAGGAGCTGGATCCCTAGACAAGTTCATTTTGGAGACTAGATAATAACTTCAAACCAACACTTCTACAAGAAACATGCTGTTTGGCCACCTTTTATTTATCTGCATTGAAAAGCTGCCTCCAAACTAATAAGACTGTTTTCTTTGAAGATGTATTGTCTCTGATGCCTGCAGCATTAGGCAGTTGCCTCAGTACTGCTGGGGGGGCTTTAGTGGGCATTTAACTCTGGCCGAGGAGAAGGGTATGGGTCATCTTAACATTTCCCCGTCCAATGGAGGGGCAAGTATGAGACCAAAAATCTGCTATAGAGGCTGGCAGAGTTCTAACTGGAGGATAGGAGCAGGCATGACACTTAACTAGGACACTGTACATACACAAAGCCCCTGTTCTCTAAGTCTCAGATGTTCTGTAATTCTACACAGAAGCACGATTGCTCCAGAAGAAAAAAAAAACTGTTTCCTATCTGGTCTTTATGAAGAGTTTACATATGTATATATGTGGAAAATGAAGAATTAAACAAGAGACTACCTTCTTAGTGAGATGCTATTTCAATATCTAATAATAGAACATTAGGAAAACAAAAGGGAAGTTCTGGTCCAGCAAACACAGCACAAAAAGTCTCCCTGTTCCTCCCCAGGAAGAACAATAATAAGTGCTGGAAATAACATGCTAGGCAACCCAGGGAGATCAACAAAGGGATGGCAGGAGTATTTCTAAACCCAGGTGAGTCCACCTTACCAGCGGGGGATGCATGCAAGAGCCCCACTAACAAACTGCAGGCCTGGCTTCCATGTTGGGGAAATTTATTCCAATTATATGTACTGGTATGATAAATATATGTACCTATATGCATATGTAGATGTACACAGAGTATACCTCAAAAGTAGGAAATGACAAAATGTATAACTGAATACATACAAAATAATTGAAGTAAAAACAAAGGATTCAGTGGCAGGACACCTGCCTCACATGCACTAGGCCCGGGTTCAATTGCAAACACTATAAAAAATTGAAAGCATGTAGCTGGTGACTCACGCATGTAATCCTACCTAGGAGGCTGAGATCTGAGGATCACAGTTCAAAGCCAGCCCAGGCAGGAAAGTCTGTGAGACTATTATCTCCAATTAACCACTAGAAAACTGGAAGTGGTGCTGTGGCTCAAGCGGTGGAGTACTCGCCTTGAGCTGAAGAGCTGAGGGACAGCACCCAAGCCCAGAGTTCAAGCCCCACGACGGACAAACACACACACACACACACACACACACACACACACACACACATGAGGTCTTTCCTTGTTGTTGTTGTTTTAAATGTATAAGTGACTTTTTTTTGTTTCCTTTGTATGTTCTTCATCCTGCTGTCACTGTACTTGAATTTGGTAACTTGCATCTTGCATATACATGTGTCTAATTTGGGTAGGGGAAGTAAAAAACAAAATGCTGAAACAAGGACACAGGTTGACCCATTGCAACAATCATACCCACAAAACAGAATTCAACTTTACAACTTTGGGCAGGGTGGGGTGAGGGAGAGTGAGGGAGGTAGGGGAGGGGAGGGATAGTGGGAGAACAAGAGGGAAGGGTAACAATGCTCAACAAGCTATGTGACCATTGCTTTATTCATGTAACTGTAACCCGTCTGTACAGCATCTTTACAATGAATACAATTTTTTAAAAGATAAAAAGTATAAATGATATGGAAACATCATGCCATCATTTTATTTATTAGTTTTTTATGTTTTCTATTCTAAAATACTGTACAGAGGGGTTACAGTTACATGAGTAAGGTAAGGAGTACATTTCATATCGAGCATTGTTACCTCCTCCTTTGTTTTTTCCCTACACCATCTCTTCCCTCCCCACATCCCCAATTCCCACCTTCCCCTCCAAGTTGTACAGTTAGTTTTCTACAGAGTGTCTTGTACATCTCATTGTTACCATGGGTCAACGTGTATCCTTGTTTCAGCATTTTGTTATTTCCCTGCCCTTCCCCAAGTTAGAAAAATGTATATACAAGATGCAGGGCACTGGAATCAAATACAGTGAAAACAAGGGTTATGCCATGGAGGAAGACCATACAAGAGAAACAAAAAAAAATCACATGGTACATTTTTGACACATTAAAAACAATAGCAAGAAAGGAAATACAAATTGTGTCCTTATCTTGGGGTTCATTTCACTTAACGTCATCTTATATGGTCATACATACATAGCTTTTAACCTTTTCTGCTTGTCCTTGCCTTATACTAATTATTGC